CTCCACCTGAAGTCCAAGTGGCGCAGCTCGCATGGCGCCACCGCCCCATTTTGGCACACCCCTCACAGATTTCGTGGCCCCTCAGGGAGCTCCTTTTGGCACACCCCTCACACGTTTCGTGGCCCCATAGGGAGCTCCACCTAAGGTCCACGTGGCGCAGCTCGCATGGCGCCACCGTCCCTTTTTGGCACACCCCTCACACGTTTCGTGGCCCCATAGGGAGCTCCATTCACGGTCCAAGTGGCGCAGCTCGCATGGCGCCACCGCCCCATTTTGGCACACCCCTCACAGATTTCGTGGCCCCTCAGGGAGCTCCACCTGAGGTCCAAGTGGCGCAGCTCGCATGGCGCCACCGCCCCTTTTTGGCACACCCCTGACACGGCCCCTCAGGGAACTGCACCTAAGGTCCCAGTGGTGCAGTTCGCATGGCACCCCTTCACACGTTTCGTGGCCCCACAGGGAGCTCCATCTCAGGTCCAAGTGGCGCACCCCACATGGCGCCGCAGACCCACTTTGGCACACCCCTCACACGTTTCGTGGTCCCTCGCCAGGGAGCTCGGCTTCACCGAGTTTATCCGCGAGGCCTGACCTGAGGAGCGCCCCCCCCGAGCCGCGCCTTCTCTCGACTGCCCGCATAATTGTTCGGCCTCGCGCCGCGGACGACCCGCGCGCGTCGCTGGGACCCTCTCGGGGCGACCAGCGCGCGTCGCGGGGATTCCGCGCGGCGCTCTGCTCAGCGCCTCGCTCGCCCGTCGTCGCTCTGCCCAGCGGCCGGAGCCTTGCCCGCAATCAGCCGGCCGGCTAGCTCTCTGTGCTCCGCGCAGCGGACGACCTGCGCGCGTCGCTGGGACCCCTCCGCGGCGACCTGCGCGCGTCGCGGGGGCTCCGCGCTGCTCTGCGCCCGCAGCTTTGGATTTTTGGAGCGCGCAGGCAAAGAGGGGGGAAAAGAAGGGGCGGAAGCGGGTGCGGGGCTTGCCGACATGGGCGTCGCGGCGCGCGGGCGCTGCCGTCGGGGTTCCCGCGGAAGCTGCCTGCGGCGGCCACGCCCAGTGTCACGAGTGTTCGGACAGGCGTGCTCGAGCCATTCACATTCATATACATTTACACTAGGCGTAGCCAAGATCGCATTCATGCAACTATACTCACTCCCACGCAAACCCATTCACACTCAGACTCTCTCGCGCTCTGGCTCACCCGCGTTCATTCTTTCGTAATCTGACCTATCGTATTCCTTTGCGTTGTGTACCCCGCCATATTTCGGCATACCCCTCATGCGGTTCTTGGCCCCATACGGAGCGCCACCGAAGAAGGTACCCACAATTGCGGCACTCACAACTGCATATGGTTGGGTCTTTCGCCGCGATATTTATTATTCGTATTTGTAGTGGTAGTGGTAGTAGTAGGAGTAGTAGGAGTAGTAGTAGTAGTAGTAGTAGTAGTAGTAGTAGTAGTAGTAGTAGGTAGTAGTAGTGGTAGTAGTAGTAGTAGTAGTCGTAGTAGTAGTAGTAGTAGTAGTAGTAGTAGTAGTAGTAGTAGTAGTAGTAGTAGTAGTAGTAGTAGTCGTAGTAGTAGTATAGTAGTAGTAGTAGTAGTAGTAGTAGTAGTAGTAGTCGTAGTAGTAGTCGTAGTCGTAGTGTAGTCGTAGTCGTAGTCGTAGTAGTCGTAGTCGTAGTCGTAGTCGTAGTCGTAGTCTAGTCGTAGTCGTAGTCGTAGTCGTAGTCGTAGTTGGTAGTACTAGTACAGTACTAGTAGTAGTGGTAGTAGTAGTAGTAGTAGAAGTAGTAGTAGTAGTAGTAGTAGTAGTAGTAACAGTAGTAGTAGTAGTAGTAGTAGTAGTAGTAGTAGTAGTAGTAGTAGTAGTAGTAGTAGTAGTAGTAGTAGTAGTAGTCGTAGTAGTAGTAGTAGTAGTAGTAGTAGTAGTAGTAGTAGTAGTAGTAGTAGTAGTAGTAGTAGTAGTAGTAGTAGTAGTAGTAGTAGTAGTAGTACTATAGTAGTAGTAGTAGTAGTAGTAGTAGTAGTAGTAGTAGTAGTAGTAGTAGTAGTAGTAGTAGTAGTAGTGGTAGTGGTAGTAGTAGTTGTAGTAGTAATAGTAGTAGTTTTAGTCTTAGTATCATTAGTAGTAGTAGTCGTAGTAGTAGTAGTAGTAGTAGTAGTAGTAGTAGTAGGTTTAGTAGTAGTAGTAGTAGTAGTAGTAGTAGTAGTACTCGTAGTCGTAGTTAAATTTGGAGAGCAGCCAAACTATGATGATGATTCTGGTGATGCTGACGACGATGATGCTGATGATGCTGGTACTATCACTGATGATTATGCTGATGATGAAGATGATTCAGATGATGATGTTGATGATGATCATGCTGATGATGATTATGATGATCATGATGATGATGATCATCATCATCACCATCATCATGGTGAGGATGATGATGATGCTGCTGATGATGATTCTGAGGATTATGAGGAGGATGACTCTCTGTCAGTAGAGCGACCCTCCGCCCAGGAGTCCGACAACTCCGTGCACAGCACGCCCCGGGCCATCGACGAGGAGACCGGCCAGTCGCCCGTGCTGCCAGGACGGCGCCCCGCGGTGCCCGCCGCGGCCACCGTTCTCGGGGGGGCGCTGCGCACAGCGGGCGCAGGTCGCAGCTCCTCCTCTCCCTCACTCCTCCCCTCCTTCCCTCCCTTTCCCTCCCTCCTCCTCCTTCCCTCCCTCCCTCCCTAGTCCTCCTCCCTCCCTCACTCCTCCCCTCCCTCCCTCCCTTTCCCTTTCCCTCCCTCCCTCTTCCCTCCTCCCTCCTCTCCCTCCCTCCCTTCCTTCCTTCCTCGGCCCAGGTGGCACCTGAGTAGGCACTCCCGCCCACGTTGCACGCACAGGGAACCCCCCAGGGCAACGGTGTGAATCTCCTGGGTTCAGGGGAGGGGAGGGGGGGGGAGGGGAGGGAGGGGAGGGGAGGGGAGGGGAGGGGAGGGGAGGGGAGGGAGAGGGGAGGGGAGGGGAGGGAGGGGAGGGAGGGAGGGAGGGAGGGAGGGAGGTGAGAGTTTGAGCGTGCGTAAAACGTAGGGTTTCAGGGAGTAAGTGCCTGGTGAGGGGGAGGGGTCTCTCTTGCCTTCTGTCCCTTTCCCCCTCTCCGCGGCCCCTCTGGGGCTCAAGTTCCTTCTCGGGCCCTTGAAGGGGCGATCCGCGCGGGGGAGCGCGACCCGCCCTCCGCACAGGGGCCGAGAGCCATGTGGAGGTGGGGTGCAAGGAGCGTGGCTGCGCCGGCCTAGTGCCTGGAGGCACTGGCAGGTGAGGCAACGCAGCAGCTTGTACATGATGGCGTTGCTGCCGATGCTCATCGGGGCCGTGGCAGCCGTCGAGATTGGCCGCAGGTGGCGGGCGCAGCCAGCGACGCGGGCATTGCCCCTCGCGGCCCACGTCGCGGACAGGTCGCTGCCCGCGGAGGCCGTGACGGCCAACGGAGGGGCGTGCGCGCCTCTGCTGCGGGCGTTGGAGGAGGACCAGCGGCGCCGTGGCACGGCGGCGGCCACTGAGGTGCCGCAGCGCCAGGCCGCCCCCCCAGCTGGGCCCACACCCAACGCCGGGAAGGGGCGAGGAACACCCACGGGGCCAGCGGTGATCCCGCCCTCTGGCGGCAAGGGGCGCCAGCAGCCCTCGATGGCGCCAGCCACAGCCCAGCCAACCTCGGAGGCATCGCCGACCTCCGCAGGCGGAGGAGGTGAGGAGAGCTTTCGGCGGCGAGGAAGCAGGATGTGGAGCTGGTTCGCGGGCCGCCGGCGGGACCCCCCGCTGCGGCGGAGTCCTGAGGACGCTGGTGGCCCGGAGGAGGGAGAGGAGGAGATGCGAGGCTGGTTCAGCTTCGGGGGAGTCAAGTTCGGAGTGAGCTGGCTCGGAGGTTGGATCACGGACCTGCCGCCGACGGAGATGCAGTGGTCGGATCTGATGTGGGGCGGTGGTGGCCTCGTCGGGAGCGGGCTCGACACGGTGGGTTACGCGGCATTCGGCACGGGTTGGCCCTTGTTGTGCTGGACCACGTTCGCAGGATTGATCGTGGCGCTCGTCATCGGCTTGGGATACGGCCTACACTCCATCGCCTCGGCAGTCGACGTGTTGGTCTGCGCACCACTCCGTTGCCTGGGACGGGCGCTGGGATTGCGCTGTCCGACCTCGAAGCCACAAGTCACGGCCGCTGAGGAAGGAGCGGTCCCAGAGCTGAGGGGACCAGCCACCGCCATTGCCGTGGAGAACGAGTTCTACGCCCAGCTCCGCGCGAAGGGGGCCGACAAGGTGCCACATCACCTGATCATCACGGGGGGCGACGCGGCTGCGAGGCTGGAGAGGCCGCCTTTGAACACTGGGATTAAGTATAAGAAGGCAGGAGTGGCGTGGCCGTACCGCGAAGTGCTCGCTACCACGTCACGACGACTGCGTGACCTGCTGGAGGATTCCCAGGACAAAGTGGTGCACCTGTGCAGAGACACGCCCTGCACGGACGAAGGCAACAACGCGGTGCATGCCCCCGCGTACGGGTACGTGACGGCTGAGACGGACACCAACTTGGAGGCGCTGGTGGAGGCGGCGCCGGAGCCTTGTTGGGCCGGGCGGGCAGTGGGGGCCGCGGCTGCATCATGTGGACGAGGCTGTGCCGCTTTGGGGTTGAGGGGGTGTGCCAGCCTCCGCGGGCCCCTCAAGCGCTGTGGCCAGAGGGGCTGCCAGCGCGGCAGGCGAAGCAGGGCAGACACCCCGGCCGCCCTGCTGAAGGACCCGAACTCAGAGACGGAGTCGGAGCCGGAACACCAGCGCTGTATGGCCCACGAGGTGCTGTACCAGGAGGGAGACACGATATTCCAGCTGTGCAAGGAGAAGTGTCGAGATCGCGCCCGTGGTGCCCCTGTCCGCCTGGTCACGGAGGATGGTGGGAAGTCGAACGTCAAGGGGGCGGAGAAGGTGGTCAACTTGTGCTGGCAGCACACGAACGCCTACGAGCGGGAGAGAGGAGTGAAGAAGTGTGCGCACCTCGGCTGCCACGCGTTGGGTCGGGTTCTGAACCGCGGGGTGCTGACGTGTTTGGAGCGCGATCTGGCGAATGAGGAGACCGCTCGACTCGTCGCCGTCGCCGAGGGACCGGCGCCTGTGGTGGCGGGAATGGCTTCCGAGCAGCCCACTCTGTACCGGTCGAGATCGCCTGCGCCGACGGCTGGGAGGGCCATCCTACCCTTGGTGTCGGCCAGTGGGGCGCGGCTAACGGCCATGGTGCGGGGCCCTCGGGGCACGGAGATGGCGAATAAGTACTACTGCTACGGGTGCCAGCTGGCGGCCGAGGAGCATGGTTGGACTGCGTATCGCATCCCAGGGCTCGAGGCCCAGGCTGCCGCCCCGTCCAACCTGGGGCCGGTGACCGACGAGCGGGTGCGGGCCGAGGCTGCCGCTGCAGGAGCGCCCGCCATCATCGTGCGGAGGGTGAACCAGATGCCCGACGGAATGGACGAGTACGGCCAGACAGCTAGCCCGGCGGCGCAGGCGCTGGCGCGGGGCGCGACGGGGAGGGAGGACCATCCCCTGTGCGCCCTGACGCGAGGGATCGAGGAGGCAGGAGGGAGAGATGAGGGACGCGCTCGGAGGCACCCGCCCCCGACCTCCCCGACGTGCCCGACGCCGCCACCGTGGAGAGACACGATAACTCGAGGAGAGCTGGGAGGCCTACTGAATGGGGCGGCTCGGGAGCGCTGGCGCCGCCGAGGGGAGGCGGCCTTGGCACTGGAGTTCCTGAAGGCAAGGGCCAGTGGAGAGCATCGCCCGCTGGACTTGGCCGAGAGGTATCAGCACTCCGAAGGTTTCGATGATCTGGGAGAGGCGCGCGACGCGATCGTCGAGTCACTCGAAGCCTTGGAGAGGGACCGCGGCTCCTTCATGTCGGACGACGAGGTGGAGAACCTGCGGCAGCTAGCGGGGGCGCTGGGGGAGAGGCGCGGCCTGAGCCAAGCACGCGAGGAGGAGGCGGCGGGAGGAGCATGGCGGGAGGGGCTGGCACGGCCAGCCCCTGGCCCTGCACGGCCGCCCACACCCCCCGTGGCTCGCCCAGCGGCAGTGGAGGCGCCGCCTGGCGTGGGAAGGACGCTCGAGTCGGGCCGGCCAGCCAGGGAGGAAAGGGGGTCAGCTCGAGGTTGGGGGCCCAAGCGGCGGGCAACTGACTTGGGCGGTCAAGGTGTCGACCTGCGGGGCAGCGCTGCGCGGGCTGAGCTGGGCCGAGGCCCGCCGACGGGTCGGCCAGGGCAGGGCCCCACACCGCCCCCATGGGCCTGTTCGAACACCGGGCTGGCCCGACCCTTGGGGTCCCTGCGAGGAGATCGCGAGTGAGTTTCGACGAGGAGGATTACGGCCCATCGGAGAAGGTTCGGAGGTCGGCGGGGGCACTCGGCGATCCGGAGGACAAGGACAGCGAGGGAATGGTTGAGGTTATGGCGGATATCGGGCACAACCTCGACCTAACGAACAAGCGGGCGGAAGACGCAGCGGCGGGGAAGATGGGCACCCTCCAGTCGATCACGAAGGACCACGAGCTGCTGGTGCTGGCGGCGCGTGGGTGCGGGAGGTTCCGGGTGGCCATCTGCCCGGGCGACTTGGGCCGGGCGCTTGTCAAGGCACCCCTGCGCGTGGCGGAGCATTCTTCGGCGCTGTTCAAGTACCGCCGCTGGCCCACCCTGATCAACTACCGGATCGCCTTCGGCATCGCGTCGGGGTCATGGGGAGGCAAGTCGGTCGAGACGTTGGCCGCTCACGCGCTCAGTGTGGCCGACTGGGTGACCTGCCCAGAGGAGCTGTTCGACGACTACGCACCCGCGACAGAGTACAAGATCGAGCCGCGTCCGAAGCAGCCCGTGGACATGCTGAAGTGAGCACGCCAGGCTCGCAACGGCATATGGGCTGTTTGTCTGGCGTATGGGGCCGAGCACTGGGACGAGAGGAGCGAGGCCCTGGACTACCTCATCCGACAGCACGAGGCGAAGCCGCGGAAGTACACCGTCCGTTTTATCCAGGATGCCTGGGAGGAGCTGAACGGGCGGTGGTGGGAGGAGCTTCGGTGGAAGGTGAAGGAGGTGCAGCGCTACTGCAACAAGGAGCTTATGAGGAAGGAGGACTTCATCTTCGCCGCTCGGACGCCGACGCCAGAGGGACCACCGCTGCTGACGCTGCCCACGACGTTCGAGGTGGAGGACCCCGACGGATACTTCAAGACGGTTATCTTCGAGCGCCTGGTCAAGACCGCGGACAACGCCTACTGGGAGAACGCTCACCGTGCCCAGCTGCGCCCTCTTGCAGCAGGGGGAGTGGAGGAGGTTGAGGAGCGTCGCCCAGCAGGAGGTCTGTCGCAGCTCCCGTCAGGTGGCGGGGGTGGAGAGCAGGTTGGCGGTCTGACAGGAGGCGGAGGAGGAGGGGTAGGAGGAGGTGCCCCGAAGGCTGGAGCGAGCAAGGTCAAACTCCCGCCTGAAGTCCTCTCAGCTCTGACTGGGCCCGAGGTTGCAGAATCGGTCAAACGCGGGCCGAACGACTCCAAAGGAAAGCCCAAATGTTGGGATGC